AAGGAAGGAAGGAAGGAAGGAAGGAAGGAAGGAAGGAAGGAAGGAAGCAGGGCTGAGGGAACAGGACAGACACTTAGGAAAAATGTAAGGCTCACAAAAAAGCATACAACATTGGAGGACATATTTTGGACTCAGTATTAAGCTTTTCCCTTGAATCTTTCTAGCAGTCTTTCTGCTGTTGTGTGTGTACTCCGGGCTAGCTGGCCTAAGAAGCTTCTGGGCAATTCTCCTGTCTCAGCTTCCTATCTCACCATCGAAGAGTTGGGGTTACAGCTGCAGATCAGTGCATAGTTTTCAGAAATAGGTTTTCCCTATGTAGCTGTGGCTGGCCTGAAAACTCAGAGATCCATGCCAGGTTAAATAAATCAGGGTTTTTAACATGGGTTCCAGGGATCAAACTCAGGTCATCGGGAATGCTCAGCAGCTCCTTTACCTGCTGAGCCATCTCCCAGGGGCTCACGGTGACATCTTTATTTAACTGTTTTCGCTTTGCTTTCTTTTTGTTTTTTCAAAACAGGGTTTCTCTGTGTAGCCTTGGCTGTGCTAGAATCGCTTTGTAGGCGCACAGAGACCTGCCTGCCTCTGCCTCTGCCTCCCTGAGGTTTGTTTCTTTCTTGTGTTGTTTTGGACAAGATTACAGCCATGTGCCAGCACTTCTGGCTTCTACGGTGCTGGGATCAAACCCAGAACCTGGTAAACACTAGGCAGGTACTCTACCAACTGAGCTACAGCCCCGGCTTCCTCTTTTTTTGGAGGGGGGGGGCTGGGAGAATATTTATTTTAAATTGTATTTATTTTTACGTGTAGGTGTTTTATCTGTACGCTTATGCACACAGGTGTGCTGTGCCCTCAGAGGCAGAAAAAAGTGGGACTGGCGCTACAGGCCGTTGTGAGTGCTGAGAATGGCCCTGGTCCTCTCAAAGCACAGCCGTGCCCTAATCAACTGCTGAGCCGTCTCTCCAGCCCAGGACAACTAGTGTTTAAATGATAAGTGTGTGCGCCTGTGCCTGCAGTGCCCAAGGAAGGCCAGCAGAGGGCATCTGCTTCCCAGGCGCTGAGGTGGGGGCTGGGAACCGAACTGGGCCCTTCGTGAGAGCCGGGCATGCTCTGAAATACGAGGTCATCTCTCTGCCACCTCAACATGCATTCTGAAACACAGATTTTTTTATTTTAAATTTTATGTGTAAAGGTCTTTTGCCTAAGTGTGTGTCTGTGCATCAGTTGGTGCCTGGTGCCTCTGGAGGTTTGTAATGATTAAAATGTGTGTTAGAGAGGGGCTGGAGAGATGGCTCAGGGGTTAAGAGCACTGGCTGCTCTTGCAGAGGACCTGGGTTCCAGTCTCTGGTCCCACACAGCAGCTCACAACCATCTGTAGCTTCACAGCTGACAGGGTGGGCGACGGGGCGGCACACGCCTGTAGTTACAGCACTGGGTGGGCGAGAATTCCCCAAATCTGGTAAAAACCGTGAGTTCACAGAGAGAACTATAACACAATGCACAGAATAAACAGGGAAGAATCGTTGTCCAAGTGCTATAAAGAAACCCACATGGCAACGGTATTTTTAATTTTTACTTGGTTCCAGGGTGTTTGTGAAGCAGGGGATAACGGCAGGCCGTCCACAGCAATCACCGGATCAGACGGGCGCCACACCCAGCCCACCCGGCCCCTACCGTGTGCCTACACTCCTCTAGGGCCTGAAGCGGCCAAGATGAGTGCGACCGGCCCGTTTCCTCCCTGCAGAGCCCCGGTGCGTGCGCGTGACAGGCGCAGAGGGGACAGTGTCGAACCGGGGGGCAAGGGAGGCGGCAGGAAATCCGCAGAACTCAGCGAGCTCGTCCTCGCACGGCCGCAACGCCGCGTGCTGCCCGGCGCACAGAGCGCTTTTACACTGCAGGGGGAGGCTTGCCGGCGGCCGGGCGTCCACTCGCCCGGGGGACCCCGGGAGGAGAGGGAGAGCGCGCGACCCTCCTTGGAGCCGGCCGGGGCGGCTCCCCCTGCCATCCGGGGGCTAGCAGAGGCGGGCGGACCGCGCGGGTTCACGCGGGCAGCTCAGACCCACCTGGGGCTCCAGGGTCAGGGATCCCACGCTCTCCTCGGGCCTCTCGGGCGCCGGCACGCCCGCGGGGCGCACACACTCCTGCAGGCTCCGGGACGCAGGCTGCGCAGGACGCCTCGGGCGACAGCGGTCCCTCCAGGCGGAGCGCTGCTCAGCCTCTCCTCGGCTGTCGAGCGCCAGAGCTGACGTCGGCAACGGCACCAACTCTGCCCCGCGCCATCCCAAAGCGCCCTGGGCCTTGGCTCCCCCCGACACTTACAAGCCGCCTGCTGGAGCCTCACTGGTGCCCGTGTCCGCTTAACCCGCTCCTGGGCAGCCCGACCGCAGGCACCTGCTGTCCCCAGGAGAACCGTCTAGGGCGGGAGGAGGAGGGGGAGGAGAGGAGGAGGAAGAGGGAGGAGGAGGAGGACGGAGAGGAGGAGGAGGGAGAGGAGGAGGAGGACAAGAGGAGGAGGGGGAGGAGGACGAGGAGGAGGAGAGGAGGAGGAGAGGAGGAGGTGAGAAGGAAAGGAGGAGAGGGGAGGAGGAGGAGGGGGAGGAAAGGAGGAGGAGGATGAGGAGGAGGAGGAGGACGAGGAGGAAGAGAGGAGGAGGACGGAGAGGAGGAGAGCTGGGGGCACAGCGGAGGCCCGCGGGCTGCAGGCGGGCGGGCGGAAGGAGGCCGGCGGGGCCCGGCTCACCTGTCCGTCAGGGGGAGGAGCGCGGCCCTGGGGCGCTGCCAGGCCCGCCCTCGGGGCCGCCCCTCGCGGGATTTAAGGCGGCCACTGGGGCGGCCGGCCGCTGCCTCTTCCGCCTCCGCCAGGTGAGAGTCCGCCGCTCGAGGGGGCGCCCGCGGCTGGGCCCGGCGGGGCGCCTCCCGCCCGGCTCCCCGGCCGCCGCCTCCCGCCGCTCGCGCCCCGCCTGGTGCCGCGCGGGGTCGCCCTGGGCCGGAGCTCTGCCCTAGTCCACGCCGCCCGGGGTGGCCAGCGCGCCCACCCCGGCTGCGGGGCACAGCGGGAGCGGGGCCGGCGTGGACCCCGAGGCCTCGAGCCGTGTTTAACGGCTGGTGGCGGCCTGGAGGCCAGCCCGGGCCGAGTGACGCACCCTGCGCCTCGCCCGGAGCGAGCGCCCCCGCCCCCGGCGGCCCAGGCGGCCCCGAGAGCAGCGTCCGAGCGAGCTTGGCTCCGGCCTTAGCCCCTCGCCTAGCGGCCGGCCCAGACACCTGTTTAATTTCTAAAGGCGCCGCCTTGGGTGTGTAAGGAGCCATGACGCTGGGCATCGCCCGGGTGGCGGGCAGTAGTCGTCAGGTCGCGCTTGTGTTTACGTGTGTCTTGGTGTCTCTTGTGTGTGGCGCTGCTGCATCTAGGTACCTTTAATCCGCGGAGGTGTCTCAGGGACACCTGTGTGAGGGTGTGTGGCAGTGTGCCCGCATTTTGTGGCAGGGTATGGGAATGTCTTGGACTTGCGACGGCACGAATCTGATTGTCTCAGGCCTGTTTTGTGGCATGTCTGTAGCTCTCGGGGGTGTGGGGGAGGCAGCCCACCGCGCATGTGTCTTTTGTGTATCTGGGTGTCTCCGCTTTGAGTATGGTAGGCTCGGCTCGGGACTGAGTGTCAGGAGTGCAGGGGCAGGGTGCCACTAAAGCCGTGGCTCTTCGCCTCTGCGCTGCGACCCCCATGGCAAACTTCTTTCTCCAAAAATATTTACATTACGAGTCGTAACCGTAGCAAAATTACAGTCATGCAGCAGTAAGGAAAATGATTTCGTGGTTGGGGTCACCACAGCATGAGGAGCTGTACTCCAGGGTCGCAGGGGTAGGAAGGTGGAGCGCCATAGCCCTAGAGCTAGGACGCCGCTGGGCTTGGTAGCCTGGGCAGGCCACATTCTGTCTCAGAGTTTTCTCAGTGTTGGCCCGAGGAGCAGGCTAGCAGGGGTGTGTGTGTGTGTGTGTGTGTGTGTCTGGCCATGTTCCTGGCTATCCCTGCTCTGTCTCTCTGGTGTACCTGGGGTTTCTGGTGTTCGGAGGGTGGCAGTTCAGACCCTGTCTCTTGCGTCCTCCACAACTGCCCTAGGCTGTGCATTTAAAGGGGCCGCTGTCCTCCTGAGAGCTGCGTCTGCAGACATGCTCCCTGAAGCCAGTTCCCTGTGGCTGCTTCGGCTGCTCCGGGATATGCAGCTGGCGCAGTTCTACCGGCCCATCCTGGAGGAACTCAATGTCACACGGCCCGAACACTTCGACTTTGTGAGGCCGGAGGACCTGGACAGCATTGGCATGGGCCGGCCTGGTGAGGACCCCTGCCCTGTGCCCCCCCACCTCCCCAATGTGGGTCCTGCCCCCTTCTTGCCTGTTCTCTGCATCCCACACCATCCCCCCTTCGCCCGTCTGCTAACCCTGGCCTCCCCCAGCCCAGCGCAGACTTGCCGAAGCCCTGAAGCGGCACCGTTCGGGGATCAAGGCCAAGAACTGGGTCTACAAGGTGTGTGGTAGGACCTGAGGGCTTGTTGAGGGGGTTTGAGGGCTTGTTGAGGGGGTTTGAGGAATGATGGGCGGTTGACCTGGGCTCCACTCACCTGCACCCCTCCCCCCATTTCAGATCCTCGGGGGTCTCGCTCCTGAACAGAAGGAGAGCCCCCCACGCCCAGACAGTTTCCCGTGCCTCCACGAGCCAGAGGGGGGACTCAAGTGTCTGATTCCGGAGGGTGCTGTGTGCAGAGGGGAGCTGCTGGGCTCGGGCTGCTTCGGGGTCGTACATCGAGGGTGGTGGACGCTGCCCAGTGGGCAAAGTGTGAGTGTGCGAGGTACCGAGGCAGCACGCCCTCCGCCCCGGCCTCGGCCCTGTCCCTCTGGGTGCTTACTGGTGCTTCCCCCTCCAGATCCCAGTGGCTGTCAAGTCTCTCCGAGTGGGCCCCGAGGGGCCGGTGGGCACGGAGCTGGGAGACTTCCTGAGGGAGGTGTCTGTCATGATGAAGCTGGATCACCCACACGTGCTGCGGCTGCACGGCCTGGTGCTGGGCCAGCCCCTGCAGATGGTGAGTGGCCGTGCACACCGAGTCCCGCAGCCTCCCCCCCCCCCCCCCCCCCCCCCCCCCGGCTTGGTGGGGCTGATGCTGACTGGCGTGTTCCTGCAGGTGATGGAGCTGGCGCCGCTGGGCTCCCTGCACGCACGCCTGACTGCCCCAGCGCCGACGCCCCCTTTGCCCGTGTCCCTGCTGTGCCTGTTCCTGCGCCAGTTGGCAGGAGCCATGGCGTACTTGGGGTCCCGAGGGCTGGTGCACCGGGACCTCGCCACCCGAAACCTGCTGCTGGCCTCACCTCGCACCATCAAAGTGGCGGACTTCGGGCTGGTGCGGCCGCTGGGCGGTGCCCGGGGACGCTACGTCATGGGTGGGCCACGTCCCATCCCCTATGCCTGGTGAGGGCAGTACTGTGATGATGGTCTGGCCAGCTTGGAACCAGGGCGGGGGTAGGGTGTGTTGGGAAGAGGAAGTGGTTGTTGGTCTTCTAGAGGAGGCAGGACAGAGGTGGCGTTAGGTCAGGCGTCTCAGAAAGGACTTCTGGGGCTAATGCAGCGGGGGTGAGGGCCGGCACCAAGGGAGGGGTGCGGAGGAAGGAAGATAAGTGGGCACCCACCTAGCCACCTTCAATTCCGCCTTCCTCAGGTGTGCCCCAGAGAGTCTGCGCCAGGGAGCCTTCTCCTCAGCCTCTGACGTGTGGATGTTTGGCGTGACGCTGTGGGAAATGTTTTCTGGAGGCGAGGAACCCTGGGCGGGTGTTCCACCATATCTCATCCTCCATCGGCTGGAGAAGGACCGAGCCAGGCTGCCGAGGCCTCCTCTCTGTTCCAGGGCCCTCTACTCCCTCGCCTTGCGCTGCTGGGCCCCGCACCCCGCAGACCGGCCGAGCTTTTCCAGCCTGGAAGGGCTGCTTCAGGAGGTGGGGAGCCCAGACACGCAGAGCCTCTCTTCCCTTATCTGTCTGGCCCAGAGTTCTGTGCGTAAGACAAACATCTCTTGGTGCCTGGGCTTGAATCCGGGACGCAGCTCTGAGCTAAACAGACACAGTCCCTCCCTATCTGCAGGAAGCTCAGGGCCCCGAGGAGGCAGCTAGGGGCTACAAAGATGCAGCTGAAGACGTGGTGTCTGCTTCTGGGCCACAGGGAGAGGCGCAGAAAAGAGAGCAATAGGTTTTCACGGGAGCTTGACAAGCCAAAAAAGAGAAATTGTGCATGGGAGGGCAAGCAGAAGCAACGAGGCTGCAGAGCTTCATCAGGTAGTTTAGAACTCACAGCCCGCGTGGTGCCCTCAGCTGCACATTTTTGTCCTTAGCAGCTCCAGGAGGGGAGCATTCTTAATCTCTAACAGATGGGGCACTTCAGGCTCGGACACACTGAGGGCAGCCGCAGCCGGTGACTTCAGAGCTGTGCCCTAAGTCAGTCTATGTACCGTTAAAGCTCTTCACCCCGAGGCCACGTGGGACCTGGAAGGATGAGGGTCAGAGTCGTTACGTCAGTCCAGCGGGGTCAGAGTACCTGGTGTGACAGGGAGAGAGGCCGGGAGGCAGGAGCAACGGAGAGAGCTCCAGATCAGAGCTGAGGCAGTGGGCCCTGGGGAGGAGCCGAAATGCCCCTGACCTGTGTGGGAGGCAGACCCGGTGGGCTTGGGTGTGAACAGGATGGTTCTCCCTTGGTGGCATGTCCAGCACGGCATGGAGTCCAGGCCAGCAACCTCCTCACTTGCTACTGCAGTGAGGAGACAGGATGGGCGCACAGAGGCCTACATGGTGTGAATTTATTTGATGGACACAGAGGAAGGGCCTTCCTCTTGTTTCTCTTCTCACCCTATGACTTAGGCCAAAAGCCCAGACACCCTTTCTTCTGTCTCCGCAGGCGAGGCTTTCTGAGGGACGTTGTGTGAGGGAGGTCACAGAGCCAGGGGCTCTGCGGATGGAGCCCGGTGACCCCATCACTATCATTGATGGCAGGTGACGGCCTTATGTCCCCTAAGAGCTGTCCCAGTCCTCTTGACGCCCAGTCGGTCTCTTCATTTTCCTCTCTGAATGTTGGTCTTATGGGTCTTTTCCTTTTCCCACTGTGCCCTGCGCAGTCCTGCCCTCCCCGCTGGAGCCCTGCCTGCTCCACAGTGCCCTTTTGTGTGGGAGAAAGGCTTCCTTCCTCCAGGCAGATGTAGTCACAGGATACACGGCCTGACAGCTGAATTCAGCCTGAGACCAGCTGCGCTTTCCCCTCTTCCTCCATCCTCTTCCCACAGCCCGGACGCCGCAACCTGGAGGGGCCAGAATGGTCGCACCTTCAAAGCGGGCAGCTTTCCGGCTTCAGCAGTGGCACTGGCAGACTCGGGTTCACCGCTTACCCACCCCGCCCACAGAGGTTCCCCTGCCCGCGGAGAGAGGTGCCGAGGAAGCCCAGATGGGTGAGGCGCTGGAAGGGTCGGGGACAGGGTTGCGTTGGAGGGACTGGCCAAGCACAGTGATGTCTCTGGAAGAAGACTTGGGACCCAGGAGTGAGAAGGGACTTGCCCCAGCTGGCGCCTCCCCTGGGGGAGGGGTCTCAGCCTGTGAGCCCCATTTCTTTTTGGAAGGAGGCCATGATGTGGGTGAGTGGACGGGGAAGAGCTGGGTCACTCTCTCACCGGGACAGGGAGAAGTCAAAGTTTCAGGAGCTGCCCCCGGCACAGAGTCAGAGAAGGAAGGAGCCCCTGCAGAGGATGAGGGGTGAGTGGCAGAGCCCAGGGGCCCAGGAGCAACCCTGCAGCTCCCCTTCCCGACCCTGACCCATACCCTTGACATATAACTTCCTTCCTCCAAATTCCGTCTTGGGACAGACTGCCTATGTATTTGTTTTGTTCTTTGGGAAAGGGTTTCACTGTGCAGCCATGGCTGTCCTGGAACTCACTCTGTAGACCAGGCTGGCCTTGAACTCAGAGCTCTGGCTGTCTCTGCCTCCTGAGTGCTGGGATTAGAGGTGTGCACCACCACCTCCTGGTATACTTTAAGACCTTAAGATTGGAGGTATCCCTGATTTCCCCACTGGACAGCATCTCCTGGCTCTGGCTCCCAGGGACTGTTCTTTGGGCTCCTAACTGCCTCGGTATAATTTGCATACCTGTCCTGCTGTCGCACCTAACATACAGACACCCGAGAATGGGGCCAGCTAGCTTACCTGAATATTCCTACAAACTGACCCAGCCCAGTGCAGACAGACCCAGAGCAGGAAGGAGGGCCTCCTCTCAAGCCATTTCTTTCTCAACCCAAGGCATTTCCAAGAGTTTGGAGTCAGTTCTGTCTCTGGGGCCCCGACCCACAGGAGGCGGTTCAAGCCCTCCCGAACTTCGGCATACCAGAGCCTCCCAGGGGCCTCCTCGCCCACCAGACCTGCCTCCTCGCCCACTTTTCGTCTCCAGCTCTTCTCAGCCCACCCAGCCCCACAAAGTACCGCCTCCCTGGCCCAGAGGAGAACCCTCACACAACCACCGCACTGGAGTTCCCGGGGCCAGCAAAGCCACAGTCCCCTCCGGAGGCCCCTGGTCAGCAGACCCTGAGTGGCAGGGGAAGATTAAGGAGGTGAGCTCTCACTGAAATGACTTGCTGTTCGAGGGACCTCTGGGTTGGGACGAGAGCTGAGCGAGGATTTATCCCCACAGGTAGAGCTGAGCGTACACGGGGTCACCTACCAGGAGTGCCAGGTGGCGCTCAGAGCCGCTGGGGGGGGATGTGGCCTCTGCCATCCAGAGCCTCAAGGTAAACCTAGGCCCTCAGCAGGCTCCCCGGCCTCCTGATCTGCCCTCTAGTGGTCAGCTGCCCTCCCTCTGGCCCGTACAGGTAGAGCAGCTCTTCCACCTCAGCGACCTGTCCAGAGCGGACTGTCGGCGCATCCTGCAGCGTCACCAGTGGGACCTGCCAGCAGCCAGCCGCTACGTCCTGGCCCGGCCCTGAGCTCTACATCCTCAGGGAGAGATGCCAGCGTGGTGCACCTGGTCCACGTAGGCCTGGCCTCAGCGACCACACAGAACCGTGAGGTCTTGTCAGAGGCAGACTTGCACACCCAGGAGACTGTACCTGTGAGGAGGTGCAGGGAGTGTGTTGGGCCCCTGGGGCCAGGCACCACTTCCTGCGAGCCCCACTCCTTCACCTCTGAGGCCTTAAGGACCTTTGACTGGACCGAGAAGGATGGAGTCTGCTCAGCCTCATGCATTCCCAATAGGACTTGGACAGGAAACGCTGCGGAGGGCCCCCACTCACCACAGACGGCAGCTAAGGAGCTGCGCTGGACTGCAGGCAGCCCTCAGACCCGACGTCAGCTACCTCACTGGGCTCTGCCGGATGCCTTCCTAGATACTGACCCAGGGGCCTTGGCCCGGATGGCTGTGGTTTGGTCCAGAGTCAACGTGAATGCTGAAAACTGACTTCCTGACTCAAGGACCCCCTGCCCCTTAATCCAAGTAAAACAGATGATTGTCTTATTGGGGCTATAGCCCAGCGATACCCCCCTTTGTTTGACCCCACCCCCAACCTCTCCCATCCCATACACCTTCCGAAGTTTAGAAAGTCTCCGAGTTTATATGAGTAACATACAAAGACACAGTCTCCTTCCTCCAGCGGGGAAAGGAAGGGGTTGACGGTTGAAGAAGGCACAGGGGAGCTGTAGAGAGCACCAGAAGGGCCCAGCATCTGCAGCTATTAGTGAGGAGGCAGGGTGCCTTCAGGGTGCACACTGAAGCTAAGGGAATCGGCTGGCTAACGTGTCTGCCATCTTTGGTGCTGCTTGCCTTTTACCCACAAGCCCTGGGTTCCAAAGGCCTCTTCCTGGGCAGAGGCCGTGGAGAAAGGCCAGGAGTGGGTAGAAAGTTTAGAAGCTAGTATTCCTGTGTGCATAGAGACTGCTGGGCCATGGCCAACAGGGTGGGAGGGTTTTCATACATGCTCTTCTGCAGGGCTGGGGGGGAGGGGCGGGTCACAGCGGCTCCCAACAATTCAAGCCACCCGACATCCGCTGTAGTGTATACCAAGGAAAGGGCTGCTTCGGGAGCGACAGGCGGCCAGGGCCAATGACCATCTTGAGTTCTGGCTGAGGTGATGGTCTCCTCGTCCTGAGGTGGCTTCTAACTGGTGACGGCAGAGGGTCCAGCGCCTCCTCGCTTCTCGAAGAACATGTAGTCCTAAGGGACAGCCAGCGTCAGTGGCCGGTCTGGCCCGGGCGAGGCGGCCCGGCTGGGCTCAGCTCTGGGCTGACCCCTGCAGCCCACCATCCATATCCCTAGCTGTCTAGCGAAGGGGCCCGGGACTGAACCAAGTTTCAGGTAGCAGGAAAGGAGAGGCAGGGAGGGGAGGGCGGGGCAGCCGACTCACAATGAGGAACGTGGCTCCCAGCAGCACAGCCTTCACCCTCACGTCGAGGTCTACGGGGAACTGGAGGCCGAAGTCGTCGGCGTCCGTGAGGGCCTCCCGGAGCAGCCCTCCCCACTCCTTGCTGATGCGGCCCACACTTCGGGATTCGTCCTTCGTCTTCACCTGCAGGGAGGGAAGGACCACCCCCTGGGGAAGAGGCCGCAGCCTCCCCAGCCTCCCGCCTCACTCTATAGTTGCATGTGTGAGCTGTGTAGACAGTTCTCTGTGAACCTGCCCAGTAGAGCTGGGTTCGCCTGTGACAGCGGGGAAATGAGATACTCTAGGTTACAGGTGCAAAGTGAAGATCAGGATTTAGATTCGGATCTGTCGCTTTCCAAAGGCGTGACGTAACTGCGGGTCAGTGATAAGCGGCCAGCTTAGCACAGTACCCCTGGCACCCGTGTTTGGGGCGCCCTACACAGAGGAGCCTAGCTGAGAGGGCAAAGGCAGGTGTCAAAAATGCTCCCAAAACTATGATTTTTTTGGAGCCCCTCCCAGCCCTGCATAGGAGCCCCAGCTAGAGGCCCCAACCCTAGCAGACAGGTGCCAACAGGTGGCTCTCTGAGCCCAGCAGCAGCAAGGCCCGTGGAAACGCTAACTCGGTGACCTGGCCCAGTGAGGAGAACTGAAGTCATTTCCTTCTACCTCGGGTGCATCCTCCTCCCTCCACATGCCGCAGCTGCAGGAAACTTCCCGCCCGCAGCCGGTCCCAGGCTCGGCATGGCCGGCCGCTGCCCACTCGCAGTCCCGAGAGCGAGGCTCAAGACCGCGCCAAGGGCCGCCGACCCCTGAGACCTGCACTGTAGGGAGGGCATTCCCACGGAGAGCACTTCTCTCCCACAGCGCCCTGGCACAGAAACTCCCTCTGACCAGCCAGGTGACTCACTTTTACAGGCAACCCTGGGTGACGCCCTCTACGGCAAGAAACCTGTCCTCTCCCCCTCATCTGGACGGGGACTCGGCCCCCAGGGAACTCAGAGCCCACGGAGGGGTGAAGTGCCCCCCAGCCTTATTCTGAAATTCTCACCACCTGGGTTCTTCTGGCTGGGGGGGGGGGGAGGAGGAGGCCTCAGGCAGGACGTCACCTGGACTCAGGTTGGATGAGTCATTTGGACTTCTAAGTTTGCAGGACAAGCCCAGGGTTAAATTAAGGGAGGGTCCATGCTTACAGACAGGCTCAGCAGCTACGGGGGTTCAGCCCCTGGCCGACCTAAGCAGTGAGGACGGCTAAGAGACGACAGTCCTCCACCTGAGATCAGGCTGGCCCCTCCTCCAGGCTACATGGCTGTAGGGAACAGAGCCTGTTCTGTAGGGAACAGAAGATGATGGCTTCTTTCCTCTTTCTGTCTTGTTCTTTTTTGGGTTGTTTCTGACAGGGTCCCTCTATATGGACCTGGCTGTCCTGGAACTCACTCTGTAGACCAGGCTGGCCTCAAACTCAGGAACCCACCTGCCTCTGCCTCTCCAGTGCTGGGATTACAGGGTGCTTTTACAGGCTCACACAGATTTGGAGTGATAAGATTAGGAGTGAGGCCTCAGGCCTGCCATTAGCACTCTGTTTTCCTAGTTACGTTGACGTCTTAGCTGAGTGATTGTGTGTGTGTGCCTGTGTGCGTGTGCGTGTGTGTGTGCGTGCGTGTGCAGGACCACTTTCACCAGTCGATTCTCTTCTACCACGTGGGACTCACAGCTAGAACTCGGGTTGTCCGACTTGGCGGCAGGTACCTTTACGTCAAAGACACCTCATCAGCCCCTCTCGATCGGTGAAGGGCCTGGAACGACCCCACCTTACAATACCTCGAAGTTGGTGTCTGTGCCGCAGCCACACGTCCAGCAAGGCCCCACCACCCGAAGGACCGTCTGGCGGTCGGCGTCAAGGATGGAGAACTTGGGAAGGAAGGGGTGCCAGGTCTGCAGCACGTGGCCGACGGTGGTGCCGGGCGGAGCCTGGACCTCCATCTGGGGAGGGCGACGAGGTACGGTCAGGCCCGGCGCGCGGCCGCAGCTCGCCACCAGCTCAGACCCTCGCAGGCCTCCGCGCCTGCCCAGACCCCGCTCTGGGCCGCTCGGCTCCCCGCCGTGCCCACCTCCTGCAGGCCACAGGAACAGCAGCCGCAGCGGAGCGGGCGGAGGAGGCGGAGCACCTCGCGGTCCCCCAGGTCGGCCAGGCGGACGCGCAGCGGCCGGCGGGCGCCGCAGCACAGACGGGCGCAGCAGTTGCTCTCCTCAGCGGCCTGCGCCAGCTGCTGGCCGGTCCCCGAGCGCAGCTCATACCTGTTACAGGTCTCCCAGCCTAGGAGAGCTGTGAAGGGCGACAGGCTGAGGCCCCGGGCCTCACCTGCCCCGAAGCTCACCACCGCGCGCGGCTCGGGAAGCCCAGCTCGCTCCTCTACTCACTTTCCACGCGTTCGGCCTTCTGATGGATCAAGATCTGGTCGGCCTGTAGGGTTGGGAGCGGCGGGGACTTAGCCGTCGGCCCGAACGGAACGGCGGCTCTCCTCGCAGACGCCCTCCCTCCCACTCACCTGCACTAGGAACTCGAGGCCAGAAGGCACCCCTGGCAGAGGCAAGAAGGGAGCAGGAGACCCCGGGCCCACGGGGCCTGGCGAGGGGAAGAGAGCGAAGCCTGGCGCGGGGGCGGGCACCTGGGCAGGCACTGGGGCCTGCGCTGGTCCAGGATGCAGTGCGGGCTCCGGATACCCAGCTGTCACCGGGTAGGGGGGCGGGGGCGCAGGGGCATAGCCTTTGGGGGGCAAGTAGCCTGTAGGGGAACATTAGAGAGTCACCTGTGGCCTCATCCTCTGGTCTCTCAGCCCGAGGACCAGGAGCGCCCGCGGGAAACGTAGGAAGAGGCAGAGAACGATGGGGCGGGGGCCAGGGCGGCGGCTCCCCAGGGGGAAGGGAGGGCCCCACGCAGCCAGTCTGCGCACATTCCTGGAGAATGTGTTCGACACCCGGCACCCAAGTTCGCGAGTGGGGGGATAACGGAGACCCCCGGTCTAGCGCCCACGTACCTGCCATGGGAAGGGGAGGGGAGTCTCGGGCTGTGGGCGTCCCGGAGGCTCAGTTCTGGAGTGGGGACAGCCAGACAGACACAGACACAAAGACGGACAGGCAGAGACGGAGAGGCGGCTGTGCCCAGCGCGTGCCCAGGGTCTCTTGGGCGGCGCCTAGGACTCGGGGGAGAAACCGAAAGTGTCAGCGGGCGGGGCGGGGTACCTGGGACCCTGAATTTCCTTTGGGGCCCCAGGACCGCCCCCTCCCTTTGTTCTCCCATTTTCCCTGGAGATGGCTGTTGGCAGACGTCAGGGCAGACGGACCTGCGGTCACACAGACGACCTGACCCCGAGGAAGGTCTCCCTGACCCCTCCACGGTCCGGCTCACCTGAAACCCCCAGATTTGGCCGGGGCGGGGGGAGCACGCACTCCGGGGCTCGCGGGCGCCGGCGTGGGCGGGCCCAGGGCCTGGCCCCACCCCCGGGCCGCCAAGCCCCGCCCCCGGGGGCATCTGCGCAGAAAGCCGGCGCTTCTGCTCCCGGTGCGCCCCGCTCGCCCTGGTCCCGCCCCTTCCGCTCGGACTGCAGAGGCGTGGAGACCCGGGCTGTCCGCGGGGACTGCGGCCGCGTCCCCAGCGCCGCTCCAGACCCCGGGGCCGCCTCCCCGGGGCGGTCGGCCTCGCTGGCGCGGCGGAGCGCCGCTCCCACTCCTGCCTGGCTTCCAGGGGTGGTTCGGCGTCCTCCCTGGCGCAGCGCTGACCCCGCTCGGTTCAGGCGCGCCCATCACACGCGTGACAGGCAGCCAGAAGGTATCAGCGATGACTGTGCGTGACGTGGGGCTCGGGAGAGACGCTTAGAAGGGGACAGGCCCCCGTTCTCCTGCGTGGCGGCGGCACGCAGGAAGCGAGAGGCAGGAGGAGAGCCACAAGTTTGAGGCCAGTCTCTTCTCCTAGGGAGCTCCAGACTAAATCAGGGCTACAGCGGCCAGACTGTCTCCAAAGACCCCCTCCCCCACAGGAGAAAGCACAGCATCAGGCAGGTGTGGTGGCTCTGGTCCGTAATTGGAGCACTTCGGAGACCACGAGTTCCAGGTCAGCTTGGGAGCGAGACGCTGTTAATAAAACAACGCCGGGCGGTGGTGGCCTCTGAGTTCGAGGCCAGCCTGGTCTAGGAAGGGAGCTCCAGGACAGCCAGGGCTCCACAGAGAAACCCTGCCTCAAAAAACCAAACCAAAACGAAAAAAACAGCCCACCACGTCTGCCTGGGTCTCACTTGTTACAGATTAATGCCTGGGATGCGACGCAGACAGGGAACTCCAGTTTTTGTTGTACAGCCGAGGACCACTGCGTTAGAATCCAGGAGGCTGGAGGCAGGCAGAGGCGAGGAGGAGATTCTTGCCGAAATCTGGACATAGTGTGATGGGTTGGGGGCGGGAGGAGTAGCGGTGGTGTGCTGTGCGTCTGAGGAAACATGACTTCTCTGTGGCTCAGAGGTGTAAGGAGAGACATCTGGAAGTTGACTCAGCCCTGGCCTCCACAGCACAGACCCCGCTCTGCTCTGCTCAGCCGCTACTGCCTGCCCATCCAGGCCCTGGTTTCCTGTGTCCTGTTCCTGTTCCTTTTCTTTTGGGGACCCAGCATGTGAGCTGAGTGTTAACAGAGTTCTAAACGAGCCCTTTCAGTGTAACACCTTGTACTTTGAGGTCTGCTTTTTTTTTTTTTATGTGTGTGTGTGTCTGCCTCCACACCAGACACATGCAGTGGTCAGGTGTCGGGTCCCCTAGAACTGGACTTTCAGAGTTGTGAGCTGCCATGTGTGTTCTGAGACTCAAACCCAGGCCCTCTGGATGAGCAGCCAGGGCTTTGACCCGCTGGGCCATCTTGAGCCCCCTGAATAGCAATTTCTTGGTTTTAGAACGTGATGGAGGAGAAGTTATGTCACAGCTCAGCCAGTTTAACTTAAAACCACATAAGCAGAGCAACTTGGTCAGTTCTTTTATTTGAAACAGGGTCTCACGATGTTGCCCTGGATGTCCTGGAATTCACTGTGTAGCCCAGGTTAGCCTCCCATTCACAGAGATACATACCTGTCTCTCCTCCAGCGCTGGGGTTAAAGGCCCCTCACCACTGTGCCCAGCGGTGTTGTTCATTCCACTAATAACAACCCTGTCTACAAAAACAACAAAACAAAACAAAGAAAAAGAAATCTGCCCCTGGCACAATGTTTAGGAACTGTTTCAACTCTGGTCTTATTAATAGGGTGCTAACAGCTCACCCTTCCTGTGTGCACGTGTGTGTGGTGTGGGGAAGCCCATTTTGAGAGTTAATTGGCCCAACACTCAGCTATGTCCCGGCCCTTGGTTTATCATACGCTTGCCCTACACAGAAGGCACTCGCAACCCAATCCTGTTCCCTTGACAACTCCACCTTGGCTTTAAGCCTGGGGAACCAAATCCTTGTGTCCCTACCTTTGCCTTGCGCTCCCTTCAAATTGTGCAGTCCACAGGAAATGCTTCAGTCCACACCACAGGCCTCTTCCTCTTGATCCCTGTCTCTTGCTCCCACCCGTAGGTTCCATTCGCATGCCCTGTGACACCGGAATTGTCTCACTAATGCGTGCTTTTGCTCAACATGGCCCTTAAACATTTTGACAAGCCAAGCCTATTGCTCAGGTACTGTAGTCCCAAGTACTAGGGATATGGAAGCAAGAGGCTCGAGTCCAGAGTCATCCGTGGATGCACACGAAGAGACATGCGCTCACCTCAAAGGGTGATTTCAATAAGCATGGCCCCCAGCCGGTGGAACTGTCGAGGAATGAAGTGTGGTCCTGCTGGAGGCGGGGCTTCACATCACCTCCAGTTGGCTTTCCTCCTGGTGCGTGTTGACGGAGATGTGATCCCTCAGCTACTGACCCACTGCCTGCTGCCATGCTACAGGGAACATGGCAGCAACTCGAACAAACTCTTCTGTAAGTTGCCTTGGTCACAGCGTCTTTTTAACATTTACTTATTTATACATCACTCCAGAAGGGGGCACCAGATCTCACTCTCGGTGGCTGTGAGCCACCATGTGGGTGCTGGGAATTGAACTCAGGACCTCTGGATTAGTAGCCAGTGCTCTGAACCCGAGTCTCTCCAGCCCCCACGTCATGGTGTCTTATCACGGCCATAGAAAAGTAACTAAGACACAAACCCAACAGAAGAAGCTGCAGCTCAGAGTGGGTGGGACGGAGCGCTGGCTGTGCAAGCCTGGGGACTTGAGTTTTATTCCCAGAGCCCACGCTTGAAGGAGGGAGCCAGCTCTAGAAATTTGTCCATTTACCTGCACACTACACACCCACACAAATACAATAATAATAAATTTTAAAAATGAAAGGGACCTGCAGCTTAGCAGAGGCTACGGGAGGAGACAGAGTCTTAAAAGTATGCAGATTAGCCAGGTTCGGCGGGAGGCAGACCCAGCCACCTGCACCCTCCATCCGGGGTTTCCTAGTTGGATGCCACACTGGTTACTTTCTCTCTCTCTTTCTCTTTTCCCTCTGTGTAGACTGGGCCAGCCTTGAACTCACAGCTCTGCCTGCCTTGGCCTCCCCAGGGCTGGGATGGCTTCTCTCAGCCTGTCTAGCTGTTCCTTTTGCCTGGACTACATTTCTCCCCTTTGGTCATGGTGGGTGGGCTGGAGACCACTCAGTGCTTGGAAGCACTGTCTGCTCTTCTAGAGGTCCTGAGTCCAATTCCCAGCACCCACATGGTGGCTCACAGCCATCTATCTGCTGCCCTCTGCTGGCCTGCAGGTGCACATGCAGTCAGAGCACTCGTGCTTAAAATAAATGTTTTAAAAGTAAAAACAGAACAGTCCAGTCTACAGACACTGCTGCCGTCACCATCCCGGGCCTAGACCACCTTGTCTTCTGTTCTGAGAGTGTTGTATAGCCTAACCTGGCCTCAGACTTGTGATCTCCAGCACCCTGTTTTCCAGGTACCACACAGGCCACCACAATCTAGCTTTGCCCTACAAAGCACAGGTAGTGCAATACATCGAAGGGGCGCAGTTTGTTTCCCTATCCCTTCCATCTCCACGTATGCCCGCGTGGCAAGGCTGGACGCCCAGCTACTAAGTTCCAGGCAGTTGTGAGCTGCAGGGTGGGTGCGGGGATTTGACTTGGGAAGAGCAGCCAGTGCTCTTAACTGCTGAGCCGTCTCTCCAGCCCAACCGTGCACACTTTCGTTTTCTGAAGGTGTGCACTCTGGAAAGTATGGCGTCTCCCTAAGTGAATGGCGTTTTCAGTAATCCTGTTCAGTTCTGTCTCTTTTTTTGTCCTACTTCACTAGGACCTGCTTGGTGAGGCCTGCCCATCTACAGCCTCGGCAGGAACATGAGCCACGGCCCGGCTGAAGAGGGATTCCTTTCCTTTGCACCTGACAGCCGTGGTCCTTGTGTGTTTAATTGGTTTCTACTGCCAATTAAGTAGCTCCATCAGGGAAGGCCACCATCTGCCCCTGTTGGCCCTCAGTACTGCCACCTCAACACTGGCTTACTAAATGTTCCCTAGACACCTTTCAGTTCTCTCCATCCTGAGTGTCAAGCCTGCCTCGTGACTGTGTCAGCCATAAAGATCAGTGATGCCCAAACCCTTCCTCCTTCTACCTCCGCCTCTGTTCACTGAATGTCCACACACCTCCTGTAAGGGTCATCTCAAGCACAACATTTCCAACGTCCAATACATAACTCTGTCCTCTGAGGCCCAGCATAGTTTAAAACCAATCACAGGCCTGTTCCGTTTGGCCCTGCGCTCACTACTAGATTATGTGGGTATGTAACACATTTGTTTCACCAGGTAGAGACCTTCGTAAAGGGTATCCTGGACTAGCAGGGCTAAACCTTACCACCCTCAGGTTACCCAGATTCTAATGAAGGTGGGCGCACACACCTTCAATTCCAGCAGTCAGGAGGCAGCTGGGCATATAACTCAACAAAAGAGAAACTGCCTAAGATTTCCAGGGCTTTCTGTTGTGTCTTTTGAGACAGGGTTTCTCTGTGTAGCTCTGGCTGTCCTGGACTCCCTTTGTCTCCCAAGTGCTGGGATTTCAGGCACACCACACCGCATTTCCAAGGTATCAATCCTATCCACTGGAATAAGCATTCCCATAAGCTCCATGAGTAAAATTACTAAAATCCACATTCCCACGTGCTCCTTAGATAAGCTAATGTGTTCTGTATGAGTCCTGTGCACCATTGCCACACCTTGTAAAAAGCAGAATTCCATTACTAGGGTTTATTTTTAAGTCAGAAATGGGAAGAATTCAAAGGTTGCCTCTCTACCCTCCCTTGCTCAAGGTTAGATAAGTGAAGGCTGCAAAGTTATTTATGTGCCTTTTTCTTTTATTTCTTTTCTGCTTCAACACCCCCTCGCCCCATATCCTCTGCGCCCGATTACCAGAAAGGCCAGGACTGGGCAGTTAAACAAAAGACCTCAAAAAGCCAAGGCAAGCCAGCCCAAGATTAGCAAGCTGCCTCCAACAGGACCCGCATTCTGGATGCTAGTGTCTCCACTCAGAGCCTGGTAGTAAAAGCTCGTGCAGAATAAGGTAGTTCCAGAGGCTAGCAGTAACCCCGCCTGAAAGATGGAGAACAGAACAAAGGATTTTAAGAACAGAGCAGTCTGACGGAGTGGAAAGGGTTTGATCAGGATTAGGCAAAAGGACTGATTACCCAGAGGGGCTTTCTGCAATGGGGTACCCCTAACAGGGCCAGGCTGTGCAAAAAGTGGTGTTTGTTGGCCTTGTCAAAGAGCTGAAAGAAAAAGAGGAAAGGTTTTCTAAGCAACCCAGGAGCCCAGGAACCTGAAGTTGCTCACAGGACGGAAACCCAATCCCAGCACTTCCGCCTCTGAGGCCCCAGTTTGCTACGGCCCCGCGTGCCCAAAGCCACTGGTTTGCTGTCCTTGCCGCTCTAGGGGCCTGCGCTTCGCTGCCTTCCCATTCACCTCCCCACCCTCTACTTTCAACATCCCAACCCCAGCCCAGTTTAAGGACACCCAGACACTGCGCCCGCAGTCCCCAGTCCCGGAGCCATTACTTCACCTCCTTCCCGTAAGCATCCGGAAACTGGGCGCCTGTGGAGAGAAGCAAAAGTTAGGAGACGCGTGTTGACGCTGACCGCCCCAAGCCCTGGGGGACCACGCGGACACTGGTGCAAGGGGGCATCCCCGGAAGCCTCCGACTGCTGGAAACACGTCGAGTAGGAGCGAGAAGCCTCTGGACCCACCGACAAACCTGACGCTTCGGGCTCCAAGGGATCTCTACTCCCTAAGAGACAGCGCGCTCCCTCTAGGCCCCTCCCCGCACCAGACCCCAAAGATCGCCCCAGCCCGGCTGCACCCCCCGTCCCCTGACCGTGTGCCCCGTAGGAGGCCAAACCCAAGGCCCCAGCTCCGGACAAGGCACCCAGGCGGCGGAAAGCAGCCCCTACCCGGGCCATGGCTGTGGGTGGTCACGCGCGGAGCCAACACCGCCCTGGCCACCCAAGAAGCCAGCCAATCCCGGCCGCCCGTGCAAATAAGGTGCAAAGATGCCCAATCGGGGCTGCGCTCATTTCAGCGCCCCGGCGCCCCTCCACAGGCCTTTGTAAAACTTCTGCTGAATGGAGAAGATGCCTGGCGGGCGGAGACGTAGAACCAATTAGGAGCGGAGGAGCGGCGCGGGAGGAGGCGGGGTCGAGGGCGGGACCGAAGGATTTGCGTCACGGATTGGCCCACTTTCCGAGCTGCTCGCCTCTCCTACACCCCGACCCCACACCTCCAGCTCATTTGCAAAGATGTGGGTCCCCGCACACGTCCCGCCTCCTTCCCCACAGGCTCCTCCCGTTCGGCTTCAGACCAGACGCACTCCTCCAGAGGGGCGGCCCCACGGCCCAGGCCCCACCCACTGCCCGCGGCCCCGCCCCCGCAGGAAGGCCCCGCCCCCGCGCCTGAGGCCCCGCCTTCTCCGCGGGCCGCCCGGCCCGCTCCAGTTCAGAGGCTCTCCCCCTCGCCGGACCCGAGGAACCCGAGGGTGGGCGGCGGTGGGGGCGGGCGTCCTCGCCCTGCTCCAGCTCCCGCGTCCGTCCGTCCGTCCGTCCGCTCCCACCCTCCGCTGTCCTCAGCCCCCCCACACTCCGGAGGGCGGGTGGGCAGGCGGGTGCGAGCGAGGGGTGTGCGCCGCTCTCTCGGCAGGGGGCGGGGGAGGCGGCCGCGCGGTGACGCGCGGGGCTGCTGCGGCTGCTCCGCCGGCGGATCATCACTCTCGGGCTGGGATGGACGCGGGGCGGGCGGGCCCTGGCGCGCAGAGCCGGGAGTCCGGGCCTCCTGGCCGCTGAGCATTCCCCAAAGGCGCCTCTAGCCCTGGCCTGCCTTCCTAGGAGCCGCACCGACCTCTCCTCGAGGCTCGGGACTCGGCCCCCGCCCTCTTCTGACTCCCCGGATCTCCCTCTCCCGCCCGCCCTCGGGATCGACTAGATCCCTCCCCCTCCCTGAGGATTCCGGCTGGATCCCTGCCCCTGCACCGCGGATTCTGCGCTCCGGGGCCCCGGGCCCCTGGGGATTGCCGTGGACTCCTCCTCCAGCACCCGATCCCTTAGGATCTTCCGCCTGGACCGCCTCCCGGTCCCTCGAAGCCGGCCCCGAGAGCCAGTGGATCTCCAATCCAGTCCTGTCCCGTTGCTCCCTCTTGGCTCAGCCTTCCCCACTGCGGGGTTCCCTGATCTTGAGCTCCCTCTGACCCCATCCCCTAGCTCTCCTTTTCCTGGGGATCGACTGGATCCCGGCCCCGCCCCCCGGGGCTGGGGCGATCCCCCTCCCCCGCCGGGTGAGGCGCTGCAGGCGGGGGCTGGGCCTGCGGGGCCGCGGGGGCTCAGAGGCCGCCGCCCCCCTTCTGAAGCCCGTCCGCCCCCCACTCGGAGCCCTGGATGGAGGCACCACGGCCCCAGGGCTGATCCAGGTAGGAGCTAAGCCAGGCTGGGCGGAGGGGGCTGCGCGGCGGTCCACTGGGGTCTTCCTCTTCCCACATGCCTCCCTGCGCCTGGTCCCCCCAGCCTGCTCTGTCTGCGTGTCTCCGCCTAGGGATGCTCTCGCCGTGTCTCTGCGTCTTGGTCTCTTTGTCTCTGCCTCTCTCCAGCCCATGAATGATCCTTTGAATGGGCCCACAGACCCCGTGTGTTCGCATCCCCCCCTCCCCCTCCTCCTCCCCTTCCCGGCCAAGCCATTTTCCCCACTGCAGGAAGGGGGGGGCTGCGGCCTGAGCCCCCGTCCCTCAACTCTCCCCGGTTGGGGGAGTCAGGCCTGGGCTGGAATGGAAGCGCAAGGCAGAGGGATCGGGAGGAGGAGAGCAAGATGTGGCAGACAGAGATGGAGAGAGAAAATGGGGGAGGGAGGGAGAGAGAGAGAGAGAGAGAGAGCAAAAGCACTTGAGGGAGAAAATCAGAGAAGGTATTTGGAGGAGAGAGAGATGAGAAACACCAAGGAGACAGAAATGAGAAAAGACCGAGGGGGTGAGCTGAAGGCAAAAGCTGGAGCAAGCCGCTGAAGGCCAAGGAATGATGCTCTGAGGGACCCCGTTCGAGGAGAAAGATGGGGGATGGCTCTGGTGGGAGGGGAAGAGAGACAAGCTAGTTGGAGGAGAGGAGGCCGGGGCCTAAAGTACCTTAAGGGAAGGGGCTGAGGCAGGCCGTGTCGGAGAGGGAGAGGAGACAGCCAGGCCCGGCCTGGTGTAGGGAGAGGGGACCTCAGCTGGTGGGGGAGCAGAAGCGGAAGGACCTGAGAAGGGGGAGTGCATGACTGGGTGTGAGGGGTGAGGGCTCCTGTGTCCTCAGCTCTGGAATAAATTGACACCTGCAGAGAGCCACCGCGAGGCTGGAGCTGGCTCGGAAAAACCTGGCGTCAGCAGTCGGCCCTGGAGGGGGGGCACTGGGGGGGCTTGCTGAAATGACCCGGTGTCTGCCCTGCCTACCTTTTCTCTGGTCCTGCCCCTGCTGTCCGAGCACCTAGGGGTCCCAGCAGTAATACTGGAGGGGAGGGGAGGGGGGTGGCGGACTAACGGAAGGGATGGCCTGAGAGGAAACCTGGGATTTGCCCCAGGACACGGGTCAAAGCTGTGCAGAGGAGACCCCAGATGGGGCCCAAGGCCGGCCAGGATTATGCGAGGGGGTGTCAGCAGGCTTATTGAGAGGCCCGCCTTGGTATAGCTTCTCCCCCTACCCCAACCTCTGTGGGAGACCTGGCCAGTAGGGTTAGGCTCTGACGGACCAAGCAGGATGGGGGGGGTAGAGGGAGCATGTCTTTTAGGGTTCTCTGTTCTAGACTCTCCTTCCCTCACATCGTCTTCTTCCTCTCTGCTAAGACTGGGGTGAAACTAGCATTCTGACTTATGCCTTATCCTCCCTCCCATGGCCTGAATGGACCCTGCAACCAAGCAAGCCCCTTCCCCTCTTCCTCTAGACCACCCCCTCCAGGGTTAGAGCTGCAGCCCGTTGCCGAGGTAACATTGCGGGGCAGCATCCTGTCGCCCAGCAACCAGCTGCAGGATCATGCATCTGTCCCTGGCTTTGCCCCTTCAGCATCCCCTCCTCACTCTAACCCCTGGCTCCAGGCACCCCCAACTTCTAAGGGAAGACGTGGATGGGGCTGGGGAGAAAGGGGTTCCTAAGTGCATAAACCCTTCGGGAACGGTCTGCCGATGGGGACAGAGGTACTGAGGTTTGCTCGGTCCTCAAAAGGCCCAGAGTCTGGCCTGGGGTGGGGGTTCAGTGCCATGAAATTACAGCTCAGGAGTAATTAACACATATAAACAAACCCGCCACTTCCTGCTAATTAATGACTTGGTATTTTTATTTTCTCTTCCCTGTCTATCTCATTCTCTCCCAGGGCAGTGGGGACTGGGGCTCCCGAGCCTGCCTGGGAGGGATAGAGGCAGGAGAGGGGCACGGAGTCTAGGAAGCTGACCCTCCCGCCTCTGACCCACCCCCAGCTTGGGTCGCTGCGGGGGGGGGGGTAGGTGTCAGGGGGCTTGTGGGTGGAAGGAAGGGGTACTTGATCTGAAATTCATGCCACTAACAGTTGTCTCTTGTTTCCCCATCCTTTCTGTCCTCTCCATCCAATTCCCCTCCCCTTCTCCCTCTTCTCCGTATTTTTCTGTCTGTTTGTTTGTCTGTATCTTGCACACTCTGTCCGGGCCCCCACCCTCCCCCTCCCCCGGGCAGGGCGGGCCTGCCTGCACCTTCTCCTACCTTCTTCCCCTTCCCCACCCCTTAAACCCTCCATGGAGAGGAACAGACGCCTCTTCTGTCCCTTCTAGCCCAGGTCCCTACCCGTCCCCCTCCTCCTTCCTTTCCCCCGCCCCCTCCTCCCTCCCGGGGCGAGGGGGGCCTCCCTCCCTCTCCCCCCCTTCTCTCTCTCTCCGAGGGGGGGGTCAGGGGAGGGAGGGGGGGTCCCCCGATCAGCATGTGGCTCCTGGCGTTGTGTCTGGTGGGGCTGGCTGGGGCTCAACGGGGAGGAGGGGGTCCCGGCGGCGGCGCCCCGGGCGGCCCGGGCCTGGGCCTCGGCAGCCTCGGGGAGGAGCGCTTCCCGGTGGTGAGCACGGCCTACGGCCGAGTGCGCGGCGTGCGGCGCGAGCTCAACAACGAGATCCTGGGCCCGGTCGTGCAGTTCTTGGGCGTGCCCTACGCCACGCCGCCCCTGGGCGCCCGCCGCTTCCAGCCGCCTGAGGCGCCGGCCTCGTGGCCCGGCGTGCGCAACGCCACCACCCTGCCGCCCGCCTGCCCGCAGAACCTGCACGGGGCGCTCCCGGCCATCATGCTGCCTGTGTGGTTCACGGACAACCTGGAGGCGGCCGCCACCTACGTGCAGAACCAGAGCGAGGACTGCCTGTACCTCAACCTCTACGTTCCCACCGAGGACGGTAAGGGCACGGGCACCAGGCTGGGCACCCCGGCACGCAGCCCACAAACGCGCACGCAGACCCTCAAGCACAGGACCCGCTCTTGCCCCTAGGCCAGGCAGCAGGGCCACGGAGGGCCCGCGCCTCCGAGGTAAGGGTGCCTGCTGACCAGCCGGAATGCGCCGCGAGTAGCCTCTTCCACAGCAGAAACTTTGTGCCCTGGAAGGAGCGGTGGCTGGCATTAGGCCAGCCTCACCCATGCTCCCCACAGAGAGGCACACAGAGCCTGGCCATGCTGCCACTGGTGCTCAGCGAGCTGGCCACCTCCGGGGTCTCCCCGCCTGCCCTTCTCCCCCACCACATGCACGCTTTCCTTCCCACCACTTATACTCTGCCCTGTCCTCTGCCACCTGCCCTCACTTCTGTCCGTGGCACCTATCAGTCCGTCTCTAGCCAAGCGCCAGTCGGGTACCCGAGACCTGTCTCCTGCGCTGACAACCCTCGGAATCGCTGGAGGGTCAGAGAAGCCTCTCAGCAGGGCCCTTCCACTCCCAGCCCGGCAGCACCCCGCACTACCCTTCTGACATACTAGCTCACCACCCCGCCACATCAGCTCCCTCCAGC